TCCCCCGATGTATGACCAGATAAACAAAATGTAGTATATACACACAATGCAGTAGTAGCCTTCAAAAGGAAGGAAATTCTGACACATGCTACAACCCAGATGAGCCTTGGGGACATTATGCTCAGTGAAATAAGCCACTCACAAGAGATAAGATTCCACTTATTTTTTTTAAGATTTTATTTATTTATTTGACCAAGAAAAGAGAGAGAGCATAACAGAAGAAGCAGCAGGCAGAGGGAGAGGGAGAAGCAGGCTCCCCGCTGAGCAGGGAACCTGATGTGGGACTCGATCCCAGGACCCTGAGGCCATGACCCGAGCCGAATGCAGATGCTTAACCAGCGGAGCCACCCAGGAGCCCCTATGATTCCACTTATATGAGGTACCTAGAATATGGATCTGTCAGATTCATAGAGACAAACAGTAGAAAGGTGGTTGCCAGAAGCTGAGAGCGGAGAATAATGAGGAGTTAGTGTGTAAGGGGCACAGAGTTTTGGTTTTACAAGATGAGAAGAGTTCTGCAGGGGATGGTGGTAATGTTTGCACAACAGTGTGGATGTACTTGACACTCTTGAACCGTACACTTGAAAATGATTAAGATGAGGGACGCCCGGGTGGCTCAGCAGTTGAGTGTCTGCCTTTGGCTCAGGGCGTGATCCCGGGTCCAGGGATCGAGTCCCGCATTGGGCTCCCTACAGGGAGCCTGTTTCTCCCTCTGCCTATGTCTCTCATGAATGAATGAATAAATAAATAAGAAAATGATTAAGATGACAAGTAAAAAATTTTAAAAAGATGAAAATGAATAAGTAAATAAAGTGATTAAGATGTTGTGAATTTTATGTTATGTGTATTTCGCCACAATTAAAAAAAAAAAAAGAAAAGCCGCATGACAGAAATTTCTGTTTGATAAACTTCTATTGAACAAACATTCTCCAGATCTACTGTTAGACACTGTTGCTTCCCAGAAGAGTTAGTTAGACATTGGCCCTGCCCTCAGAGCAGGGGCGAGTCAGACATCTAAAAGATGTGTGAAATAAAGTACAAACAGAGTTCTGGATGATAAAGGCTTATTTATCAATGACCTGAGGGGCACAGGGGGCGAATGGCCAGTTCTTCTCAGGTGGCCACAGTGAAAGCCAGGAAGGCTTTCCAGAAAGTATAAAATGTGACCTGAATCCTGACACCCTGAAAAGTAGCCATCAAGCTTTGGGGTTCAAGAGGGAGAGATCTGAGCAATGCTGGGGGCCTGCCGTGTCCTGGTGCACTTGGCTCTGCTGGTTCTGGGTGGCAGAGGAGACCTGGAACAGCAGGAAATAAGGCTCAAAATGGAGCCTCAGAGGGTTTCTGGGCCTGGTGAGGCATTTGGACACTCACTGTAGACACTGGGAAGTAGACGGTGAGAGATGTTGAGCAGGGGACAGACTCGGTTACACTGGAATGAGAACAATCAGGAGGCAACAGAAGATCAGTGATCTTATTTGTTCATTGTTGTTTCCAGACTACATAGCAACTGGTAAATAGCCAAAAGTCTGGTGTTGTCAGGTCTGCTTAGAAAGAATGATACACCTGGGTCTGTGAATCTTCAAATGTTTACTCAGACCCAAATTGCTCATAATCGGAAGGAATACTTAGCTATTTGCACACAAATCTCAGTCTGACACAAACCTGTTACTTTGCACCACTCTGGCACCAGAGAACATTTCTCTACTTTTCCTCACGGTGTTTCAAACTGGGCTTTATTGATTATGACCTTGTATCTCCTTGTATCTCTAGTTCTTTAAGTAGCTTTAAAATTAAAAAGACATAACCATCTTCGCATAGTGTTCAAGAACCTTGCCCCACTGCCAGTGAATTGGGAAGTGAATACTTCATGCTGCCAGCTACACGCAAACCTAGAGTTCATTGTCTGGGACTACAGCCCAAACTCTGAGGCTCATCCCAAAGATCTCCATGGAATGTGAAGGAATAGCTGTCATTTTAGCCAGAAGAGCTGTTTCCCAAGAAGTCAGAACATCATTGTTGGGTTTCTAGAAGATAAAGCAAACTACTGGCATCCCAATGCTTTGCTGGATGGTAGTACTACTTCCTGTACTACAAAGATGTTTCACCAGTTTTCCAGGACAGCCCATTTCTGAAAACAAATATACTTCTTAGGCAACCCCCTTTTGTTTGCCATGTCCATAAAGAACAAGAACTTGCCAGATGCTTACACATACTGTCTCATGTTAGGCAAGATCTAAAATAACAAACAAGCAAACAAAAACAACCTTTATTTCTCACAGAAACTTCAGAGACTCTGCACCAAATAACCCAGAAAATGTGTTCTTGCAAACAAGCTGCTATGGTTTTGAGATTTGTATTGAGTGAAGCGAAAAGAATTAACAGAGCATGTCTCTAAGCACTTCTCTAACTGTGATGAGCACCTGCAGGCTCTCCGCTGTGATTCTCATCCAGGACCTGTAGAGTCTGAGGGCTGGGGTTTGTATCACTCAGTGCCCTCTGCAACTTGAAGTCAGCACCTCACCTAAGCAATTTTGTAAGCAAAAACTAGCAGCAACTTCGTGAGCTTTCCATGTTACAAAGCGTGGGCAGGTTATTTCACTGTGTTTCATCCCTCACTGACAGAAGGTTCTGACCCTGCTTTCATTGTCTAGAACAATGATTTTCACCTGGGGGTGATTTTGTACCCCCAGAGATATTTGGTAATGTCTGGAGACATTTTTGATGTCATGACGGGACTGGGGGAAGTAAGGGTAGAGGTGCTACTGGCATCAGGTGGGGAGAGACCAGGGATGCTGCTAAACATCCTAGAATGTTACAAGGCAGCCTCCCCCCCCTCCCCAAAGAATTATATAGTCTAAAATGTCAGTAGTGTCAAGATTAAGAAATTTTAGTCTAGAATTAGAATCCAAACATTGGAGTGCCTAGTATTTAGTCCTCTCAGAGAGTCAAACCTTTCAGGGTACTTTGGTGGCTCAGTAGGTTAAGCCTCTCCCTTCGGCTCAAATTATGATCCCAGGGTCCCGAGACCGAGCCCTGCATCAGCCTTTTTCTCCCTCTCCCTCGGTTGTTCTTGCTTATGTTCCCTTTCTCTGTCAAATATATAAATAAAATTGGAAAGAAGGAAGGAAGGAAAGGAGGAAGGAAGGAAGGAAAGAGGAAGGAAGGAAGGAAGGAAGGAAGGAAGGAAGGAAGGAAGGAAGGAAGGAAGGAAGGGGAAAGAAAAAGAAGAGAAAAGAAAGAAAGAAAGAAAGAAAGAAAGAAAGAAAGAAAGAAAGAAAGAAAGAGAAAGAAAATCAGTCAAACTTTTCTGCCCACCAAAACCATTCATTTTTGTAGTCAAGGGGGTGATAGCAAAGTACAAGGTTAGACTGCACTTCCCAGCCTCCTTTGCAGTCTATTATGACCATGTGACTAGTTCTCACCAATAGAATGTGACTTGAAGAGACTGCCTGCTGAGGCTTCCAAGAATGGTCTTTCCCCTTCTGCTGGTGAAAGGTAGATGACAACTAGACTGTGTTGGAACCAATTTTTGGATCCTGGGTCCCTGAGTCACCATATGGGAAAGAGCCACTAAGAACATTCAACTAAGAACATTCACTGCAATCTGGTATGTGAATGAGAAATAAACTCTTCTTGTATTTGAGCCGATACATATCTTTGGGTCTTTGGGTCATGGTCACTTAGCTCATCCCAGCTAATAAACAGCCATTTCCCAAAAACTCATTTTGGCCCTACATGCCTTGGGGAGCTGAGACCTCTGCATGGGGCACACATGGTGGGGATCTTTGCCTCTAAGGTTAGCTTGGGCTTCCACTTCCTCTAACTAGTAGGGCTGTATGTGTCAAAGGCCACTGTTGAGGGGCCCCTGCTTTACTTGGTGTAGCATTGACTCTAGGAGTAAATTGTGTAATGATCTCAGCTCTGTGTGACTTTGGTACATCAGCTGAAACCTCAATGGGAAGCAGCTTTGGCAAGAAAATAAAAAAGAAAAGGAAAAGAAAGAAAGAGCCTCAAGTAACCAAATCAGGAGTAGCATGGTAGACCTGGCTACCAGGACAGCAGGACTCTCTTTTTCTACCTCTTACCTCCACTGTTGGCTTCATTCTCTTTTTCGGCAGTTAAGCTTCACACAAGAGGAAAGAGGTACCACCATCCTTGAATTCATCTTTACAGCTGCCAGGCCAGAGAAGAAGGGCCCTCCCTGCCTCCAGTTTGAAAAACTCCCAGGAGGGATTTGGGTGGAGCATTCCTGCAGTGGCTGGAGCAGAATGTTATCAGAAGTGAGTAATGGGTGTTGCTCTGAAGGATACCATAGCCAGATGAACATTCTATTAAGTTGAAGTCTTCCCAGTGGCCCATCTTGCCTCGGATCCCTGCTGCTCTGAGCCAGGGAATCAGGGTGCAGCCTCAGGGTGTGAGCATTTCATAGAATTCTGTTCCCCAACCCGTTCCCCGACCACTCCTACCATTGGCAGCGAGGGTTGTCCAAAATGTGACAGGAGAAAATTCTCTGTGTAAGATGTGATAAATCATAAAACATGATGGCTCCTGAAATCTGCTGTGTGCTAAAGTTGGAAATTTTTCAGCAAGATAAACCAACTACCATGTATCTCAATTAGTTCCTCTCCAATTTCTACTTGCTCATCCTACTTTATTTTGTTCATGGCATTTATCACACTTGTTTCTTGCCCATCTCTCCTCCTAGAATGTGAGCTCCCTGAGGGTTGGAATCTTGTGTCTTGGTCTCTACCTTATTCCTCATGTTCAGCACAGGAGCCTGGCTTGACACCTGCTTGTGATGTGTGTGCAAGAGAGTGCCTTTTGCCAATGTCTGCTGCATCTTCCCGAGGGTACTCCACTTTTTCTCCATGTGTGGTGACTTAGGTGTCTGAGGACGCTTCTTTGAATCTACCCTTGCTTGCATCAACCCTTGAAAAAGCTCCTTGAAGTCTCTGGGATGAATGGCAGCTTTCTCCAAATTCCAGTGTGATTTCCCACCGCAAGCTCATCATTTCAGTGATAATCTCCCCCAGACAAGGGGATTCCTGGGACAAACAGAGGAGTGAAAGCAGAGAAAGGCATAAACTGATAAGACAGTGGCTACTCTTCAGAGATGGTGTTCATAGACTCACCTTCCAAGGTTTTTCCATGCATCCCATAAATATTTATTTGTGGGCAGGGGCTCAGGTCACTCTCTCAAACCCAAATTTCCAAGTCCTCATGTTGACCTGTCGGCAGCATTTGCCACCAGTGACTATTCTTTTCTATCTGGAACTTTCACCATCTTTGGCTTTCACAGCGCAATTGTCCTAAATTCTGCTTCTTCCTATTCTTGTTGCAGGGTGGACTGGGGAGACCCCAGGGCCCTGGCACCTTGACCCAACTGGTCCCAAAGGTGCCGCAGAGAGTTCTTGGTCTAGTCATGAGAAAGAATTCAAGGACAGATGTGCAACACAGCAGACGAGTAACATAAGTGGGAAAGTTTATTAAAGCGAAACACTCAGGACGCCTGGGTGGCTCAGTGATTGAGTGTCTGCCTTTGGCTCAGGGTGATCCTGGGGACCTGGGATCGAGTCCCACATCGGGCTGTCTGCAGGGAGCCTGCTTCTCCCTCTGCCTGTGTCTCTGTCTCTCTGTGTGTCTCTCATGAATAAATAAATAAAATCCTTTTAAAAAAATAAAATAAAGCAAAACACTCTTGAGATGTGAAAACAAGGTGGCGGAGTGGAAGATGGAAGAAGAGAAGGAGAAGTGAGCAGGGCTGCACACCTCGGGTTGGGTTTCTATCTTTCATTGACAGTTGTCAACTAGGGGGCAGAATACTTATTACTTAGGGGATTACTGGAGATGCAATGTTTCATGCTTTTTCTGCCTTATTTGGTCAAGGGTTTCCTGTCAGGGCAGCTGCCATCTTGAGCCTGTCTGGTTTGATCTGGTTTCTTGTGGAATGAGAGCTGGCCATGATTTCCTCGTTAATGACCTCCAGGTATCCTGTTAGAACCTCACTAACTGCCTGCTCTAACGGTTTTACCATTCTCCTGTTTGACCTCCAGATTCTCTTCAACACTTTCCCTTCCTCCTCCAGCAGGTGAAATGACAATGTCCCACTGACCTGTCCTTGTCCATCTTCTCATCCCAGGTCACCTCATCCACTCACCTGTGTGTTCAATAATCGCTAAATGTGGTCCTTCCTGACTGCTCATGTCCAGTTAGATCAGGGTCCTGTGCTTCCACAACATGAGTCCCAAACTCAAAAGGTGAAGGACGGGAGTCATTTTCTCCCCACACCCTTACTTACTCCTCCAGCTTCATCTCTTTCCCATCATGTTTCCCTGCCAACCATCCAACCTGTAACCAAGTCCTGCCAATTCTGCATCCTTGGCACTTCTCTGACCCTGTCTCTCCATCCTCACCACCCTCGCTTCAGTTCCAGCCTGCATCTCCATCTCAATACTTCCAGTTCTGCACCCCTGTTAGCTACATCCACACCTCCTGTAGAATAGTCTTCCCATGGCACAGCACTGTCATTTCACTCTCTGACTTAAACTTTCCAACACTTCAATACCTTGACTGCAGGATTAAGTGCCAGATCCTTATCACCCAAAGCCTTTCGTGGCCAGGTCCCTGCTCACCTCTTGAACCTCCCTTCCATCTCTTGCACCCATATTCCAACTCTATGGGACTACAGCAGGTGCCCCAAATGCCAAGCTACAGCATTCTACTTCCTCATTGCAGAATGCCTCCCCTTAGCCAACCTGGAAAATTCCACCCATCTTTAAAATTTTATTTTTTATTGAGTAATCTCTACCCTCACCGTGGGGCTTGCATTCATGACCCTAAGATGAAGAGTTGCATGCTCCACCAACCGAGCCAGCCAGGCACCATCACCCATCTTTAAAAACCAGTTCACAGAACACCTCTTCAGGCCCCCTTCCTCCTTTGTGACTCACTGTACCCTGTGTTTATCTCCATTAGAGGCCCTTTAACACTTTATTTCATGTATTTGATCACAAATCTTTCTGTTCTGCCAGACTATAAACTTCGTGAGACATGGTAGGCTTTCAGTATATGTCCCATGAATATTATTTTTTAAAACATTTTATTTATTTACTCATGAGAGACACAGAGAAAGAGGCAGAGACACAGACAGAGGGAGGGAGAAGCAGGCTCCTTATGGGGAGCCCGATGCGGGACTTGATCCCAGACTCCCAGGATCACGACCCGAGCCAGAGACAGACGCTCAAACACTGAGCCACCCAGTGCCCCTTGTCCCATGAATATTATACACACATGAACTCCACAAAAGGGGGACCTTGTTTGGTACATCGCTGTATCCTCAGAACCTAAAATAATGCCTGCTACAAAATAGCTATTCAACAGATATTTGTTGAATCTCTGAGTGAATACAAATAAAAATGTACACACCAAAAGTATATCATAGACACAAATTCTAGAGATGGACTTCCCAGGAGGCTATGAACCCATGGAATTTTTCTGCAAAGCAAGCCCAAGGAGACATCATTTCTCCTTCCCCTCAATGGCCAGATACCAGCCCAGCAACGTCAACTGCCTCCTGGGCCTCCCGGATGACTCACTGGAGAGCTTTCTTTGGGAAGGAGTGGGAGGAGATGATGGTTGACAAAAATAACCACAAACACTTGAAGCATCATCAAGCCTCTGTCTTGGGGGTGAACAACAGGGGCGGATCTCAAGGTTTCTCCTATGCAGAGCAAGGCAGAATGCATCCTTCCCGCGCAAGTGATTATCAAACCCTCACGTGGTCAGTCACACAAACCGAGAGTAAATGAAATAGCCCCTGCTCCTAAGCAGTCAGCCACTTGTGTTGTATGCACATGTTCTTTGTAAATTGTGAAGGAAATACACGTGAGCAGCGATTATTAAACAATATTAAGCTGGTAATTCCTTCTGTGTCTTTTAAAATTTTTACAAAGGGCTTTCCCTTTGTAAAATTCCATTGTCTCATTTGAGGATCACATCAACTGGGTGAGAAGGGCAATTTTACAGATGAAGAAAAAGACTCAGAGAGAAGCTGTGATTTACCCAGAGCATAATTTGCAAAGTGTTCCCAATACCAGTAGCATCAGCATCACCTGGGAACTTGTTAGGTGTGAAATTCCGGGCCTTACCCAGACCTCCTAAATCCGAAACTCTGACATGGGGTCCAGTAGTGTGTTGTAACAAGCCCTCCAGGTGATTCAAATGTACGCCCACTGATCAAGAGTGGGCAAGATTCAAATGATCAGTACCCACTGATCAAGAGTCTGCACATAGCAAGTTATAGGCTCTGGGTGAGAACCCAAAGATATCCTTAGGAAATATTCCTCACTGAGCTACTTGAATGTTAATAGCTAATAGTTTCCTGCTTTTACTTGCTTCATGAAGCCCTGCAAAGACCAGCTCCAGCTACATCTCAACCTCTTTCCACTCCACTCTGCCTCTCAGCCTCCTTTTTTTTTTCTTAAGATTTTACTTATTCATTCATGAGAGACAGAGAGAGAGGCAGAGACACAGGCAGAGGGAGAAGCAGGCTCCATGCAGGGAAACCCATCTCACCAGCCTCCTTAGGCATTCCAAATTCTTTTCTGCCCCAGGACCTTCAGACATACTGTTTTCTTTGCCCAGAATGCCATCCCTCCTGGCTTGATTCGCCTCACTTCAAGTACCACCACAGTGCTTAGCACAAGGTAAACACTCGGTAAACACCTATTAATAAATAAATCACAAACTAGAGCCAACTCAGAAGAAAAGGCCATTTTCTCCATTGCTACTTCCACTAAAAATGGCTATTCTAGGCTCTTCTTTGGCAGGGGATAGGGGTGGGGGTGGATAAAGAGGGCAGTTAACAGTGTTTTTAATAACTGGGGTACCTAATGAAAGTTCCCACACAGGACTTGGTTTCTAAGGATAAGCACATCAACAGATCAAGCTGTAGTCAACACAGACAACGAGGAGGGAAAGAAAACTGACTTTAGTTGGGAAAAGTAGAGTGATGGGACCCAGACAAGGGTGTGGCCTCCCTGAGACTTTCTTAATTGTGGTAAAAAACACATAACATGAAATCCTCTCTCAACATTTTTTTTACCTTCAACAAATTTTTAAGTGTACAGGATGGTACTCTCAAGTCTATACACTCTATGGAACAGCAAATCTCTAGAACTTTGTCATCTTGCACAACTGAAACTCTAATACTCATTAAATAAATAACTCCTTTTCACTCTGCTCTCCCCCAGCCCCTGACAACCACCATTCTACTTCCTGTTTCTAGAAGTCTGGCTATGTTACATACCTCATATAAGTGGAATCATATAGTATTTGTCTTTTTGTGACTGGCTTTTTCCACTTAGCATGTCCTCAAGGTTTCTTCACGTTGTAGCATACAACAGGATTTCTCTCTTTTTTAAGGCTGAATATATTCCATTGCATGTAAATACTACCTGTTCTTTATCCAATCATGCATTGATGGATTAGATTGCTTCTACCTCTTGGCAATTGTGAATAATGATGCCAGGAACATGGGTATGCAAATATTTCTTTGACATCTTGTTTTCAGTTCTTTAAATAAATATCTAGAAATGGGATTGCTGGGTCACATAGTGCCTCTAGTTTTAACTTTTTGAGGAGCCACCATACTGTTTTCCATAGCGAATGCACCATTTCACATTCCCACTGGCAGCGCACAAGGCTTTCAGAGTCTCCATATTCTTGATAACTCTTGTTATTTTCTCCTTTTTTTTTTAATTTACGATAGTCACACACACACAGAGAGAGAGAGAGAGAGAGAGAGGCAGAGACACAGGCAGAGGGAGAAGCAGGCTCCATGCACCGGGAGCCCGACATGGGATTCGATCCCGGGTCTCCAGGATCACGCCCTGGGCCAAAGGCAGGCGCCAAACCGCTGCGCCACCCAGGGATCCCTCTCCTTTTGTTTTTGATACTAACCATCCTCGTGGGCATGAAGCGGTATCTCACTGTGGTGTTTCTCTAATGACTAGGGATTTTGAACACCTTTTCATGAGCCATTTGT